AGAAGGGTAGAGTAAGCACTATATTACTGAAAAAGTTTTAGCCACTCATAAAAAGTTATTCCAATGGAGAGTTGGCTATTTTTTCATACTTTCTTTTACTGGACTTATTAAGATAAGTTTTATGAAGTTTTTGTTTGTTGTTTGTTTTGTTTTTATAATATTTAGGCATAAAAGCTAGGAGAATGTGTATAAAAAAGATACTTAAATGACAAAATTGTTCATGAGCACACTGATCTATTTGAAGATTGACTAAGTATACCCACCAGGGTCCCTGAAACCCTAGTTTGTTACTTTTTCTCTTTCAAATTAATGGAGAAAGATTTCCCCCCATTATAGTCCATTTCTGTTCTATCATCTGGGCCTCAAGGTGTCTGAACTGTTATTTCTCCTGTTTCATTTGACTTATTCTCTGATCCTCATGATCACCACTGCTTTTTCCACACAATAATGTCACTGAGCATACAGGGCTTGTTGTTGTTAGGCACAATTTATTGTAACCCTGTGTACAATAAGATAAAACACTGCTTGGTCCTGCATCATCCTCACAATTGTTCCTGTGATTGAACCCATTGTGGCAGCTACTGTGCCAATCCATCTTTTTGAGGGTCTTCCTCCTTTTTATTGATGCTCTACTTCATAAAGCATATCTCGCCATCTTGGCTTCTAAGGAGAATCCTGGCTGTGCTTCTTCTAAGTCAGATTTACTCATTCTTCTGGCTTCCCATTATATATTTAAAATACTTTGACAGAGCCATAATTTAACTTTTCTTTGTTCTTCCATATTCCTAATCTGGATTTCCCATCCATATGAGGTGATTGAAAATACTATGGCTTGGATCAGGTACACCTTATTCTTCAAAGTGACATTTTTGCTTTTGAAAACATAAAAAAAGAGATCGTTTGAAGCAGGTTTGCCCTGTACAATATTATTTGATTTCCTGACTGCTATTCTCATGGTGTTGATTATTTATCCAAGTAAAATGAAATCCCTGACTTCAATCTTTTATTCATGATGATGAATAAAAGATGATGATGTCAATTGGTTCTATTATGGGGATTTTTGTTTTCTTTATGTTGATTTGTAATCAGTATTAAAGTCTGTAGTCTTTGATCTTCATCATTAAGTATTCAAATCTTCTTTACTTTCAGCAAACGTAGTTATGCCATCTGCATATTGTAGGCTGTTAATGAGTTTTTCCTCCAATCCTGATGCTGCATTCTTCATATAGCCCAGTTTCTTGAAGACTGATGACAGAATACTCCCTAAAAAGTACACCATTCCTGATCGGAAACCATTTAGTATTCCCTTGTTATTCTTGAACAACTGCCTCTTGGTCTGTTTACACGTTCGCCTGAGCACAGTTAAGTGTTCAGGAATTCCCATTCTTTGCAATGTCATCCGTAGCTTTTATGATCTACAGTCAGTGGCTTTACATAGTCAATAAAGCACAAACATCTTTCTGGTATTCTATGCCTTCTACTAAGATCCATTTGATGTCAGCAATGATAATCCCTCATTCTGTATACTTTTCGACATCCAGTTTGAATTTATGGCAGCTCCCTGTTGATATACTGCTGCAACCATTTATGAATCACATTCAGCAAAATTTTACTTGGGTCTGATGCTAATAGTTATTGTTTATTGTGTTAAGTGTCATGTAGTTGGTTTCGACTCATAGCGAGTCTTTATAGGTTTCCCAGGAGCGGCTAGTGGGTTTGAACATCCAACCTTGCAGTTAACAATCCAGAGCTTATCCTACAGAACCACACCAAGGCTCCTATATTAATGATGTTGCTGTTGTTAAGTGCTGTTGAATCAGTTCCGACTCATATTGACCCTGTATAGGGTTTACGAGGGACAGCTGGTGGGTACCATTGATTCTCCATGTGCCACCTCCTGAAATGGTTGAACATCGATTAGTCCTTTTTGGTAGAGTGACTCTGTATATTCCTTCCATCTGTGTTCAATGCATCCTACATCATTCAATATTTTGTCTATGGAATCCCTTCAGTACTGCAGTGCATAGGTATAGGAATTTGTATATTATTATACCATCTGGATTCAATCAGCTCTATTTTCTTCCATAGCACTTTCTACTCTAAGAAAAGAAAGCTTTTTATAATCCTCAGTCTCTCTTTACATGATATTCTCTCTGTGGTTCAATTTTCTCTTGCCTTCCCACTGCCTTGTACTTTTGCCTGATGAACTTATACTCATGACTTAAGACTGAGTATAAAATCTTAGCACAGCTGTAAAGAGTTGCTTGATTCTACTAGATTGAATTTGTTTGCCTCATCCAATACCCGGTTCACTTTGATGTCTTCCATTCCCTTAAGAGGATGAACTCCTATAGGTTTCGGATTGTGTTTGTAAGTTCTTTTTCATGCTAAGCTGTCAGTCAATTTTTGACAGGTGAACAGCAAAAAGTTTTTCAATAAATAAATAAATAAATAAATACATCTGTTTAAAGTAAGGGCCAGATTCTATATCTTGATCTTGTTTCTGTTTACTCTATTGTCATATTCCCTTCACTTAGGAAAATATTATTGTCTCATGTTAAAAAAATGTTACCTTTAATATTTTGTAGTTAAGTGCCAGAGAGTCAGTTCTGATTCATCCAAGTCTTTAAATCTTTGACGAAATAGAAAGTTTCATCTTTCTCCTACTGAGTGGCTCATGGGTTTGACCTTCAGACCTTGCAGTTTGCAGTCCAGTGATCATTAAATGAAGGTACCACACTCCACCTTCAATATGTTTTTGTTAAGTGCTATGGAGTCAGTTCCTACTCATAGTGACCCTGTATAAGGTTTCCTAAGAGCACTTGGTGGGTTTGCTTATCTTGTGGTTCGATGTCCATGTGCTCATCTTTCAGCACCACACATTTAGTATAAGGAGCAGGAAATATTTAAGACAGGTATCCCATAAAAACTTCCAAAAAGCAATTATTATTAAGCCTCTTTCCTGGTAAATAGTTAAAAAGTTGCAAATAAGTTATGTTGCAACTATAGAAAAAACAAGTTCATTGAATGCCAGAAATAATATTTCAGCTAGAATATAAACCATTGTTGTATAATTTAATGCTAATTTGCATATATTCATATATTTACTATATATGGTGCTGGAGGATAAGCACAGGACTGCTAACTACAACTTGTGTGGTTTAAACCCACCAGCCTCTCCTCAGAAACCCCATAAAGGTCACTATGAGTCTTAACTGACTCAATGGCACTTAACAACAACACTTATATATGTAATATAATTATAGAAATTTCAATGTATTTATAAATATAAATAACAGTTTGTCATTTATTTGTAATATTTGTAATAGTGCATAGAAACATGGATTTCAGGGAATTTGGTCATAGAATGGAAATGACTGTAGAATCTCAAAGACCACTGTTGAATTTAAAAATGAAAGCTTTATTTAAGTCATTTAAGAATATATGGATTAGAATAATAATAGCTTTGAGAGCTTGTTTATGAACTATTTTACTCTTTCAAGGTCTGGGAAGGAATTTCTCCTTTACAGTTCATTAAGTCAATATTCAAATGTGTTACAGTAAAAAGATTTAAGGAGGGCTCTTGGTATGCGCTGTAGGATCAGCACTGGACTGTGACCCACACATTCGGCAGTTCAAGTCTACTAGTTGCTCCTTGGAAACTCCATACAGAGTTTGTATGGGTCGGCACCAACTTGACAGCACTTAACAACAGCAATATAATGAAAGGAGCCATGGTGGCACAGTGGTTAAAGTGCCCAGCTGCCAGTTAAACATGTTGACCGTTTGAACCCACCAGTCATTCCACAGGGAAGAAGATGTGACAGTTAATTGTGTAAAGTTTTAGAGCCTCGAAAACCCTGTGGGCTTTTTATAGCCTTGAAAACCCCACTCTGTCTTATAGGGTTGCTATGAGTCTAAATCAGCTTGATAGCAGTGGGTGTGGGTTGATATTATACAGAACTTTTTCTGCTGTGTACACTGACCGGTGATAGAAACAAAATCACAAGCCAAAAGGAAGGCTTTTTGAATTAAGTTTGTGATTGGCCTTTTCCTAATTTTTAAAATTTTTTCCTGTAGTGACTTTTATCACCTAAATTATTTATTTTTTGGCTGTAGAAATTATTTTTAATAAACTTTTAGAAAAGACAAATACATCATTTTTCGACATAATCTCCTGCTTTTTAATACACTCTGTCCATCTGTCAACAAGGGGATTTTCCTCCTCAACGGGCTGCTTTCAGAGGACCAAATAGGTGAAAGTTCAATGGAGCACAATCAAGACGAAGTTTTTGCAGAATATCAGCAGTGTGGGCAGAGGTATAAAAACGTGCATTGTCATCATAATGCTCTTGGATAGCAGTCCTTTGTGTTGAATTCAAAGTTTAGGCTTCAGCTCTTCAGTGTGCATTTCACTGTAATGAGCATTGATGATTGTTGACCTAATTTATTTTTATTAATTAGTAAATCCTGGTGTGTGTTTTTTGTTGTTGTTTTCTGTTTTTGTTTTTTTTTTACTGGATAATGTCTATAAATGACTCCATAAACTTAGAATTATAAATATGTATATATATTTATACATATATGCATATGTGTATGTGTATATATATGGAGGAGCTCTGGTAGCGTAGTGGTTACGAATCAGGCTGCGAACCTCAAGGTCAGCATTTCGAAACTACCACCTGTTCTGCGGAAGAAAGATGAGGCTTTCTGCTCTCATGAAGATTTACGGCCTCGGAAACCCTGTACAGGGTCACTATGAGTCGGAATTGACTCCATGGCACATAACTACTGCCATGAGGCTTTTTATTATCATGTGTTTGTTAATATTCAAAATGTTCTGTAATGAAAATTCTGATTGCACATTGATATTCAAAAACACATCTGTTTTAACAACTTTGGGAATTGTGGCTGCTACTGTTTGAGTCAATCTGTATCTATTACTTAGTAAAAACCTGGCCTTCCATATAAGTATTTTGGTCTTTTTTTATCACTTGCAGATACTCTGGTCTTTGGAAATGGGTCATTGGATTTCTGAGGAGCCGTTTGAGCTTTCTAACTACTTCCCCGCAGCACCAGTAAGCCAGTTTCTATTTTATAATTGTAAATACAATTTGCTATAATCAGGAAATTATTTCAAGTGTATAGATAGCAACAAGTTTTTATTAAGTCAAGAGCTATCACTCCCATAATTAAAAAGTCATATTTATATAATTTAATAGTAGTTATTTATTGTTGAACCAATGTAAGTATGTGAGAAAAATAAAGAAAATAATTGAATATATATGAAAAATAAATTATAAACATCCTCAGTATTGAGAAAAACAAAAATGAAAAAGAAGACTAAATTATTGAAAAAACAGTATTATATTTTGCTACTTTAAAAAAATAATGTTTTTACAGTGAATAGGAATAGAACTAACAGGCTTTAAGTAACTGTGAATTGCATGCATGGTTATATGTTTTGATGTTTTTCCTAAACTCAACTTTGACTTCACTGACTTTTGAGGATTTTAAGTGTTTAATAAGTAAGTTCCAAGTTCGTGTTTTTTTAAAAAGAGATTAATTAATAACTATCTAGGTAATTTAGGTTTGATTGGAAGCAGACTTGTACAACTTGGCTTTGATTATCAGAAGAACTAACTGATGCTGTACGTTTGTTCTTTCAAACGATTGATGTCAGAAGGATACATTATGAGTATTGTCTTCAGTCTTTCTACTTGTGTTTAGTTGCTTGAGTAGATAACACAACTATTACATAATAAGAAATTGAACCATGTGCTTAAATCACTCTATTTAAGGTTATTTTGTTTTTGTTTCAAGATTACTATTTTTATTTCCTTTCAATTTTACAAATAATTCCTTAATGAGAATAAATATTCCTCTAATGAAAACTCTTAAATACTGTGTTGTTGTTGTTAAGTGCTATCAAGTTGATTCTGACCCATAGTGACCCTGTATAGGGTTTCTGAGGAGCAGCTGATGAATTTGAACCTCTGACCTTGTGGTTCAAACTGACCTTGCAGTCCAGTGCTTATTCTACAGCCCCACACCAGGACTTGTAAGGAAGTGTAAACTGAAAACACTAGTTTCCTGCACTATCTGCCATTAAGATTACAATCAAACCTTTACTGTAAGATTTTATATTCAGTCATTTACGTACTCACTTATAATACTCATTGCACTTTGTTGGACAGTCACTGACATATGTATTCACAAAGCAGTAAAAAAATCCAGCTGAGGTAGAGCAAGGCTGCTTTAGTAATTACTAATTAACTATTTCATAGAATGTAACTTCTGCAAACAATGACAAATAGATTTTTTTCTCTAACTTTGAATAACTTGATGAGATTTGTCTTTGAATTTCATTTTACTTCCCTACATGGGAGCCCTGGTGTGATGCCATAGAATAATGCACTGAACTACAATGTTAGTTTCAACTGCAAATTTGTCAATTCAAACCCACCAGCCACTCTTTGGAAAACTTATACAGGGTCTATATGAGTTGGAACTCACTTCATGGCAATTAACAACAACAACATGGGAGTGACACTATAGTATAAGCACTGGACAGCTAACCACAAGGTCAGCAGTTGAAACCCACCAGTTGCTCTCAGAAATCCTATACAATGTCACTATGAGCCAGTACTGTCTCAACAACACTTAACAGCAATAACAACATGAACATTAAAGCAACTGATGGATATTAAGTAAGATTTTGCTTATTTTTCCAGTGGTTATCATTCTACTTTGAATAACTGTCATTGTGGTCAGAGAGATAGGGTAGTAATTTATCACTGGTTTGGGAAACTGTGATATTTTCTTAGTAGCAGATATTTTGTAACTCACAATTTTTTTTATCTTGATACAAAATTGTGATACGAAAAGAAATCTGAAGGGGTAAAATCACGACTGTAGGGTGGTTGGGGTAAAGTATCTCAACAAAATGCTCATACGGTAGTTCTTGTTACCTATGAAGAAAGAGCATGTGCATTGTTGTGATGGAAAGTCATTCTTCAGTGCAACTTTCCTGGTCTTTTTCTCACCTTTTTCAGTTTTCTTATAACTTCTTTATGATAAGTTCCCATGATCATCCTGTGTCCATTGAGAAAAATCTAACAAAATTACCTTTCGGAATTCCCCTAAAATAGTCACCATAACCTTCTGAGATGACTTCTCTGCCTTGATTTAACTGGCCCTGCAGATCCCCTCAGAAGTCAGTGCTGATTGAAGGCACACCAATGAGACTAAGACAAGCGTATTACTGAGAGAACCTATCTGCAGCCATCCATTGATCAGAGACATTTAAAAAAACATGTTTTGTTTAGAATAAATTCGTGATTGTATGAACTGGAATTCTAGTAGCAATATTTTTGGACTTGACCTCATATTAGTTACAAATTGGACTCTAAGCTTTCTAGCAACTGACTCAGTGTATATAGAAATTGTTTCTAAATGATAAGCATTATACAAGTATGTATATTATTAACTTACCTATGAATAATTCAAAAGGAGTTAACTCTGGGACTTTAAGTTTTATAATCTTTCATTTAAACATATTCTTAAAATCTTCTGTAAAGATTTTAGTATGCCATAAGTATTGTTTTTTTTTTTTTTCACTTCAGAACATTTCTTTTTTAATTTTGTAAATGGACATAAAAATTAATCTTTGTAATGCAAATTATTTTTCTTTTAATAACATTACAAGTAATTGAGCTTGAAATATATATATAGCTTTGTAAGTGATTTAAATAGAAGATTTTTCTGAGCCACAAATTAAATTTTATCCTAGTCTTCTAAAACACATCTTATTACTAGAGAAAAAGAATACCTCTGACTTGGAATAATAATATAGGATAGTAAATTGTCTGTCACAATTTTCTGTACTATTGAAAATCAGATTTTTCTTTGTCACAAGGCACAATTCATTGGTTGCTCCAGAAGCAAGTTACAAAATTGTGTTACCAAAAAGTTAAACATAGTCATCTCACCTAATAATTTATATTTAATTACTAAAAATACCTTTGTATTTAATAGCCAGATAGAAAAAAAATAGTACAATCTTCACATAAACTGGAACAAAACATATTTCTATTGATAATTTTAGGGATCATAGAAGTTTTCACCACAAGAACTTGAGCTATACATTTGAGCATTAGCATAAAACTAAGCTGTCAACACATACGTAAATATACTGTTTTTCAAGACGAAAGCTTTAAGCACCTAATAGGAGTTGAAATGTGATGACTGTGTTTTCCCTTATGTAAATGTTAACCTGCTAATAATCACTTATCAGAATATCCCTGAATACATGTTTTATGGCAACTTTTTTTTAATACATTGGACTATCATCACCAATTGTTTCATCCATCCCTAACTTCTTCCATAATGTTAACAGCTCCATATTTAATTTGTTGAGATTAATGTAGATTGAATAAGTATTTTGTATGTATTATTCACAGTCCTTTAAATTTTTCAAGCCATCTAGATTATGTCCTTTTAATGACAGTAGTGATGCCGAATTCAGGACATGTGAATATTTACACAGTCTATAAACAGTGCTCAGAAGAATGCAGTTCCAAGATCATCTGTACTATATTACATAGATGTTCTATTTTCCAGTTATTTAGTGATAAAGCCGCACATAATATTCTTGGTTATCAACAGAATATGTCAATTGTCAATCGAATTATCAGCCTTAAATTTATTTTCCACACAGGAGTTCTACCGAATCATGATAGCAGGTTGGTCTTTTGGCTTTGGCTGTGCTTTGATTTGTTAAGTAATGCAGGCTTCAGTGATGAAGATTGTTGTTGTTGTTAAGTGCTGTTGAATTGGTTCGACTCATAGTGATCCTGTATAGGGTTTCCGGAGAGCAGCTGATTGGTTTGAACTGCTGACCTGGTGGTTTGCAGTCCAGTGCTGATCTTACAGTGACACACAGAAGTCTTTTGGAGCACATTGATCCCTTCAATACCCAAAAGCAGATGGTTGGAGGTGGAAAAGGAAACAGTATGCAGTTGAGTCTTTCGGTGCTTTGGGATTCAGTTTTTGAAAATAGTACAATACACCATTCATTAGATGTGCATAAGCTTTTAGAAATCTGCTGGTCTGATCATCATGGTTGTGGCCTTCAGTGAGTAGCCTGATCCTTTCCAATAATACCACTTAATACCATTGAATTTATTTGTGTTCTGCTTCTGTGGATAGTACATTCCATTCAGGTTGGAAGGGCCACATGCATCAAACCACCAGCCTGTGACAGTAAAAAGAAAAAAAAAATAAAGGAATTAAAAGGAGCTCTGATAGCGTAGTGGTTACAAGTTGGGCTGCTAACCTCAAGTTTGAAACTACCAGCTTTTCCGCAGAAGAAAGATGAGGCTTTCTGCTCCTGTAATGATTTATAGCCTTGGAAACCCTATACAGGGTTGCTATGAGTCAGAAGTGTCTCCAGAGCACACCATCACTACCACCAGGTAATACTAGCTAGCTCTCCATTTTTTGTTGTTGGTCACAGAAAGCCCATGTGTGCAGAGAGAACTGTTCCATAGGGTTCTCAAAGCTGTGGCCTCTCTAGTAGATCACCAGGCCTGTCTTCCAAGTTGCCTTTGAATGAGTTCAAATTGCCAACCTTTTGGCTAGTATTCTAGTGCTTAGCCATATTAGTCACTTTGGGATTTACAATTAGTTGTTAAGTGTCTTGGAGTAGGTTCTGATACATAGTGAGACTCTTTGAGTTTTAGAGGAGAGGCTGATAGGTTTGAACAGACGAACTTGTGGTTAGCAGTCTAGGGTTTATCCTACAGCACCATACCAAGATTTACCATTGTTGTTGTAGTTGTTAAGTGCCATCAAGTCTTGACCCTGTATAGGTTTCCAAGGAGCAGCTGGTGTAGCCTTGGAACCTTGCTGTTCAAACCGACTTTGCAGTCCAGTGCATTAACCCACAGCGCCACCCCAGGACTATAGGAGTTTAGGATTTACCATAGAGTTAGGAATATTTAGCCAGTCTTTTATTACATTGTATGCATTAAACTAGGCATATGTAAATATACATGAATATGTAATATACAGCTTT